CAGAATGGTCTCACTGTGGCTGGAGGAAATCCACAAGGCAATGGAATCAATCAACTCTGAAACCCATGGGGTTTGTATGTTGAATAGTGGTTGCAGGTTGCAATGGAAGTGAAAATCGTCTCGATCAACTCTCTTACCCACGCTACGTATTCGTCGATCGAGATCATTCAGTATACGTGTCTGATTGCGGAAATGATCGTGCGATGAAATGGGTGGAAGGTGCAAAACAAGGCATTCTCGTGGCCGGTGATCAAGGACAGGGAAATGGTCTTACACAATTGTCATGTCCTAAAGGAGTCGTTGTCGATCAATTGGGCACTGTCTATGTGGCTGATGCAGGGAATGATCGAATAATGCGTTGGCCCAAAGGAGTCACAAAGGGAAGTGTCATTGTTGGTGCAAACGCTGAAGGAGGACAATCGAACCAGCTCAATGGACCCATCGGTTTATCATTCGATCGACACAGCAATCTCTATGTCGTCGATAACGGAAATCATCGAGTACAAAAATTCAATATTGATCCAAATGGATGAAGCACCATGGGCGGAATCGTTGGAATGGGATAAAGCGCAGAAGAAGCGATGGCGGCGGAGACCTGGCTGACTTCCACGAAATGTGTGCCTTTATGGAACGTCTGCTGATCGCATACCCTAACGTAGAACCTTTAAGTCGGTATCAAATGAAAGAGCGCGTCGAGTTCTATAAGTTTCAATGAAGAAGCCTTATGCCAGGCTTCGGAGTCTTGAAAACTCAGTAACCTTAAAACTTTTTCAGAAGTTTTTCAACCATATCACTCGATAGATCCTTCAATTCCCCACAAAAGGAGATGCTCAGCACGTTTCTACGATGTTCGACCACCGAGTTACAGGCTGTTAGACATTACAATGGCTGTCATTACATTACAAGGCATTGTCATGGCTGGTGATCAAGGAGAAGGAAATGGTCTTACACAATTGTCATATCCCGGGGGAGTCGTTGTCGATCAATTGCGCACTGTCTTTGTGGCTGATCGGGGGAATCATCGAATAATGCGTTGGCCCAAAGAAGCCACAAAGGGAAGTGTCATTGTTGG